CAGAGCTGGCGTTGCGGTTGCATGGGAATGGCACATTGCGCGGCGTCTGTTATGGACACAAGACACTGGAGGTATAAAAGTCCCACGGAGTTGGACCGCGTCGAGCTAACGGCGTCGGTCGTTAATGAAGCGCAGGAATGCAATAACTCGGGTTGGTTGTGGGAGGTACTGTTTTCCGCGTTTTGGAAATGTGTCCTAAATGCACTCGCGTGGATCGTGTTTACTCGAGGTCAAAAGCACGCTTCTATGCAAGCAAGCATTCACTCGTACACAACTCGGACCTTTCTCTTCTCTTCTCTTTCTACTCTCTCTCTCTCTCTCTCTCTCTCTTCTCTCTCTCACTCACTCACTCACTCACTCACTCACTCACTCACTCACTCACTCACTCACACACACACACACACACCACACACACACACACACACACACACACACACACACACACACACACACACACACACACACACCACACACACACACACACACTCACTCACTCACACACTCACTCACATTCACACACAATGTGTAATTCTATGTGTACCCCATTGTGTGGAGAGCGACGCGGGCCGCCGTTGTGCCGATGTTTTCCCTCGTGTGTACACGTTTAAAGTGTGATTATGTTTGGAGTGGAGGGTGTCCCCCTTCCCTCCCCTTCCCTCCCCTTCCCCCTGTTGGCGGGAGAGACCTCATTAGTACCTGTCCACCCTTGAGCCCAGCTGTGGCATCCCGCACTCGGCATTCCAGCTTGGAATATATGTTTAATAGATTTTTTATTATGATTATTATATGTTTTTTTTTTCTACAACGGAAATATTTTAAACCGGGTTGCGTATGCGCCGTTACGGTTTCTGTATTAAAATGCATGAGGGCGCCCGTATGACAATGTTTAAACAGTTTGTTTGATTTCTTATTCGAAGGGGAAGGTGTGGGGGTTGGGGATGGGGGGGGGTTGTCCCGCGTCTGTGGTCTGTGGAACTGTGAATTTTACTTTTGTCTGTGGAACTACGACTTTACTTAAGAGCTGTGTATTTTTTGCATTTATTTTCTGCTGTTTAGGACATTCCTTGACTACCTCATATGTATATGATTATTTGCAGGTGTAAGGAGAGGAATAGGAATGAATTTTTATTACTAATTTATTTCATTCCTTTCATTGTACGGAGATCGCCCCAAAGTGGCAACTTTGTAACCCTTCTTTCGCCTGCGTTCGTTCTGATATATTACAAATATTTTTTTCTGTTACAGTGAAGAACGGGTAGCAGAGGAACACAAACAACTAATTGGGCACACTCGCGGCCACGCTATCTTACAGTAAGTAAATAAGTGTGTGTGTGTGTGTGTGTGTGTGTGTGTGTGTGTGTGTGTGTGTGTGTGTGTGTGTGTGTGTGTGTGTGTGTGAGCGTGTGCGTGTGCGTGTATATGCGTGTTTTACATTTTCGAGTTTTAGCAATCACTGGTATAACCCAAAACGGTTAAACTACCACCTTCAGTTGAACATCGAGTTATACCAAACATAATCACAAGTAATTCTCTTATACTTGAATGTCGGTCAGTGTCTCACATCAAAAGCGAAACATCACCAAGGGGCGTTTTTAATCTCATCAGCAACGGGCGTTTCCACCCTCGCCTTTGTCTTCCGCACCCCGCCCCGCAGCCCCGTGGCCATGCCCTCAGCCGCCGCACCGAAGGGGTCGCGTAGACGTCCTGAGTCGCAGGCAAAGTAGAGTTGCGGCGCAGCGCCTTGCGTGGGAGGGACCAGAGCTCCGTCTTTGTTGAGAGGGGCGCGGGCGGCGGACGGGCGGGTCTGACCTTGGCCAGCCTGGTCAGCCGTCAGCGGCATCAGTGTCGTAGTCGTGATGGGCCTGGGGAAGGGGTCGTTACACCCACGGGGAATTTCAGGACTTTCCAGACCAACGCTGAAACGAAGTCGCGACTTGACAGCATCGTGACCGCCATATTTCTGGGCGTATGAGTGGACATCCTTGAAGTCGGGTTGTACAAATGCGGGCAGTCACGTTGCCGCGGAGATGGATCGTGCGGGGCTCCAGAAAACGCCGTTTGTCTTGCGCTGATGCTATCTTTGAGCCCCGGAACCGGAGCGCTGGCGTGAATCGATCGCGAGAGAGGCTTCAGAACCACCTCGGCGTGACGAGAGAGGAGGAGAGGATGGAGATGGAGGAATAGGGAGGATGAGGAATAGGAGGATAGGGATGAAGAGGAATAGGAGGATAGGATGAAGAGGATAGGAGGATAGGATGAAGAGGATAGGATAGGGAGGAATAGTAGGAGGAGGGGGGGATGAGGCAGAAGGACCGGAGACTTTGATGCTCTATTAGCAAATGAGCTGCCGGGCGTTCCTCCAGCATGGCGATGGGCTTAACATCCCTCAAACCTTTTTAGAATTCGTGCCTCAAAATCATGAAGCGAAACGGTGAATATTGTTAATGCGTTGTAGGACCCTTTTCCCCTCCCTGAAAGCTTTTAATCGAGTGTCTTGACTTTTTTTTGAGAAGGGGGCGGGGGAGATGAGTCATATGCATCGTGTCTTAAGAATTTCAGAACTATTCAACCGGTTCTTGTGCTGGATAATGTGTCGATGTCCTCAAGAGGTTAAAGGTGACCTCGCTTTGCCTCCCACATTTGCATGCTCATTTAATGACACAGAATGTATCGGTTGTTTTATTCATTCACAGCCACTTGTATCTGAGATCAAAATGAGAATTATATGTAAAAGACAACAATAAAGCTGGTGATACTTTTCATATTTGGTATTGGATGATTAATGTTTGTTTTTTTCTGATTTTTCGCGTCATCCATACTAAATGTTATATAATTCAACTAATGGCAAAATATCCTACTATTTCCCCAAGAATTACTCGAAAGCAAAACCCTAGAAGTCACGAGTAAGCTAAAACCAGAACCCAAAGAGTAAACAAAATCCTTACTTCCAGGTATATGAGTGTGGTAGAGCGGGTACCCACGTATGGCGTGCATTACTACGAGGTGAGGGATAGGTCCAACTTACCGTGGTATCTTGGTATCAGCTACCGTGGCATTGCTCAGTACGACTACCTCGACAAGAGAAAACCTCGACGCGTCTTCCTGTGGAAACAGCTTGAGAACCTCTACTTTCGGGAGAGAAAGTTCTCGATAGAAGTACATGATCCAAAGAGGTAAGGCAACCACAGGGCTAGAAACCATTTAGAATAAAGGTAGTTCTGGCAAGGTGGTTTGTATTAGTTGCCATGATCTACTAACAGATTCTCAACAATATTCTATTTCTTTCATTTTAAAAGATCCTTATGTGCTGCTTTGCGAGGCTATTTGGCAGCCTGGGTTTTTGTCCAGTTACTGCAGGACAATTGCTGCTTGTATGTGTGCTGACCAGCTTACTAGGCAGCTAATGTGCCCTTCCCTCCCTTGCTGTAGTTAACTTTGAGAATATCTAAAGTTAAAAGATGTCGTCAATGAAAACCCACAGTATACACAATAATTTTTTAAATGCAGCCTTTGAAAGATAAGATTTCTAGGAAACGGGTGTTTGTATTGTGGGTAGTCATGGAAGAAGACTAATCTATTGACAGGAAGTCGGAAATAACCCTCTAATTCCTGCAACTCTCCCTCTTACATGGTTTTGTATGTTAAGGAAAAATCTGTGGATGTTTTTGTATTTGGACTTTGTAAAAAGTGCTACAAATCTTCTTAACACACACACACACACACACACACACACACACACACACACACACACACACACACACACACACACACACACACACACACACACACACACACACACACACACACACACACACACACACACACACAAATAATTTTGTATACACTTGTCTTCTGCTTACACTAATTTCTAATGTTACTAATGATAGCAGTTCACCAAAATTAGGGATAATACAGTTGTAACTCTTTCTCATAGTCACAGCATAGAGTATTGACTTTTGATTTGATAGGTATTTATCAATTTATTAAAGGAAATAGTTATGATTAGTTATGGATACCAATTGTACATAATCCATATTCGTGTTCACATAGTCAGTAATTTAAGGCACCTATTAAGTCAGGCAGTTGGCAAGAGAAAGTACCCATTGAAATTCAAAATATCCTTGAAACCATATTCCAACCACTCCTTTGTCCATAGTCTAAGTAGTATTTAAGTTTGCAGCATAATTTTTAGCCTTGTATGTGAATGTTATAACAGAAGCTTTAGCATTAATATTTGGCTGTATAAACATCTATCTTATTGGTTTACACAAGCTGCCCTTAACCGTTGTAAATCAACCGCAGCTTGTCCTAAAATTATTGTGTCACCTTAAATCCACTATGATGGAGTGGAGTTTCTAACAGCCCTCCCTAGCACCACTTGCTAGGAGTGGGTGAGTTAGTATGTGTGGCCTTGTTGTTGGCATGACAGTGTGATGCATGATGTCTTGTTTGGTTTAGAGTGGTGCACACCCTGAGCTCCTTTAACCTGTACGAGGATGCCATCGAAGACTCCAGGGACAACCATGATGACCTGCTAGCGGCCATCACCGAAGCAACCACACAGTAAGTTCCATCCTTTAGTTATGAGCTTTGGCTTATTTTCCTTTCAGTGTAGAAGGCATGGAGATAGGGGTGAAGTTTGGAGACATGCTGTGGTAACTAGCATGTTTAGTGTCTCATTGATTATATGTCATTACACTAGTAGAATATACATATTTTACTCTTACATGTGGAACAGATAATATAGGGTTAGTATGTTCCAGAATACAAAAATGAGCATTGTTCAAGAATCATAATTCTTTAATGTTATTTCCATTGCAGAGTATCTGTGTCAAGAAGAACATTTGGACCTGGCAACGTTAGTGTTTACGTTTGGTTCGCAGAGACTCAGGCGCTCTGCAAAGCAATCTGGTCGATGGCGATCGCACAGCATCAGTTCTACCTTGACTGCAAAACCTCAAGAGTAAGCATAGTTCTTCTACCCATTATTTTTTCAGTTAAAAAACAAATATCCACAAGTCCTTATTCTTACAATTATATTATTGATATCTGTTATACATTTTCACATCACTATACAAAATATTCCTCTTTCAGAATGAGGTGAGTGGGGTTCGGGAGTTTCCCGAACTGGCAGTTGAGCTTTCACGCAGTTGCGTTTCGCTCTCAACCCATTCCTCCTCGTCAAATCTATCAAGATCTGGCTCCCATTCATCACTGGTTAACAACTCTCTAGCAGGTATGTCATTAGCCTCTTACACATTTGCTTGAAAAAATCATTGTAATGAAGCATCAGATAGTATGATAAGAAACAACAAGAATATAACAAATTCATTTTTTTGATTACAAGAGAAAAAATTACGATCATGTCTGTTTGAAATATTTTTGTACCTTGACAGACATTTGTAAAGCAGTTTTACACAAGTTACCCCCCAAAATTTACTTAGTAAATTGAGAAGCAAATCAGTATAATCTGATCCATGAGTAGTAGTATATTACCCATCTTCAGTTTCAGAGATAGGGCTTACCATTCATATCTTTTGCAGAGGACAGTGCAAGCACAGAGAGTTTACATCAAGCAAGGATGGAGATGCACAGTGCCTTGAAAGAACGTCGCGATGCCCTTCAAGAAAAGCTGAAGGAAAAGACAGAAGAACTGAGACTCCTTTGTTTAAGGGAAGGTGAATTGACAGGGGAGTTGCCTCCTGAATATCCAATAACTCCAGGCCAACCACCACCAACTGTACGCAAGAGAGTTGGCACATCATTTACACTCAGTGAAAATCTCATAAATAAGATTATTAACAAACAGGTAAAGGTTCAAATATATTTTGGTCTTTATTATATGCTATATTTTTCCATGTTGGTTGAAATAGAAGACTGTTTTGTAGATACCTCTACAAGACAATGTAGGTTTACAGAATTAGTATTTTGCTGATCAAATGTCTGAAATTTTGCCACAGAGTTTGAACACATTTTTCATACAAGATGGTATATAAGTATATAAAATAGAAAAAAATCACAACCAATTTCTTTTTCCTTTCAGGAGGAGACTGTAGCTGCTTTAGAACTTGAATATGAAATTCAGGGAAAAATAACTAGTGCTGCCCTGAGATTAGCAAACGAAACCTCAGCAAGAAAAGGAGTCAGAAAGCAGCGCAAGCTCTCCTACCAACAATCTGCCCAGAGATTAAAAGATCTTGAGCAGAAACTAAAAGCCGCAAGGGCCAAGCAAACAGCAACAGCTAACAGTATGCCAAAGCAAAAGAAAAAGCCTCGTCCTGTATCAGACAGTGAAGGTATGGAAGTTTGCATCTTTTACAAACAAAGTTGCTATGTGATACAAAGAATCAGTAACTAGTACCTACAAATATCTGGTAATTTCTAGAATTTGTATCTACAAATACTTGGTAGGACCGATAATTAGCATTTCTAGATATTTACTTTTTCTAATATTAGGGTAAAAAAGTTACTTTTTATGTTCTAATATCATCCTAAAATTTTCAGGTGTGGGCGGATACGATGAAAATACGAATCCGAATAACACGACAGTAAGTAGCAGTCAAGAATCGCCTCGAGATCACTTACGAGACTCCCTCCGAGAATCAACCATAACCGAGGGCGTCAGTCTGTCTCCAGCACTGTCCCCTCACCCTCCAGTCTCCCCAAGGTCACCCTTACCACCATCTACACCAGTCAGAGCAAGGGCACGGAGGGACCTCTCACCAGGGGGTCACAGTATATCATCTGGAGGTGTTCATTCTGCTCCAACCAGTCCTCACAAACAGCCAAATGCAAGCTCAAGATCAGCTAGTCCCAACAGACCTCATAGGTATGTGTCTGGGTGAAATGGTAGCCATTCTAAAAAAAGAAATGATATTGTTCATGTAAATATTTGTAATGGAATGGAAATTGTTTTCAAAAAAGGTACTGCTATATTCTTGTTACTGAGAGCTACTTTTCTACTTTCAGTGGATACATCCCTAGTTCTGTGTACACTAGAAGTCAGTACCGCAGTCAGCAGTACCCGACCCTCTCCACGCGCTCCCAGTCAGTCCCGGCGGATGAGGGTCGGGTGCCACACCCAAGGACTACCAACGGAGCTTATCCTGTGCCCGATCCAGGCATTGTTCTTGCTGAAACACCCGGAGGTCTCTACAACATACCCCAACAACGCACTTCCCTTGCTTGTCATAGTCTGGATGACCTGGGAACCCCAACCCATATCAGCAATAATAATAATAATACACCCCAACAGTCCCACCATAACCACCACCACCAACCCTACAGACCGAGAAATGACTCCCAGGATAGGTGCGGATGATACATTGTTCTCTTTATGTAGCATGAAAGTTTTGTTATATATGTTGTACTTCCTTTAGACAAAGCAGACCATTCCTTGCATATCACTATATGTCTTTGTTTTTACATAACGCATGAAAGTTTCTCATAAGTGTCTTTTAGTTATTAGACTATATTTAGATGTTTTAATTTTGCCAATTTTATAATATATTTTCTTACTTATGTTTGGCATCTATGAACTTTTGAAAGTTGTTAATTATTTTCAAATTCTTCAAATATTTTTACATTTTGAATTATTTCCAAGAAATCTTGTGTCATTGTGTTTGCATATTGACATGGACCAAAGAATTACTAAGGTCTATAATGGAGCTTATAGTAATAATAGTCAAATCCCAGGAAATAAAATCCTGTATATAAATGACAATGTATGTGATATTCTACAAAGTACTTTATAAAAAAGAATATAATAAAATATAAAGACAGATCTTAACAATGGAGGATTGTTTTTACCATGCCATTTCAGTCCTAAATTCAAAATATATAAATCTTCATTTACAGAAGTAGCAAATGAACATTAAAAGCGTGCATGTTGAATTTTAATGCTTATCAGTAAAGATGCTTTATAACAAAGGCACAGGATTTCTTCATATTTGGTAGATTGAATAAATTTTATTTTACATTTTTAAATATATCCTGGTGATGCCCCAAAGAAGTTTTATCTTAATTTCAATATTAAGGTAATTCTTGTTTGGGACTAATCTAGAGATAGCGCATGATAGTTGTTTCTAAATCATCAGAACTCCTGCACAGCCATTGCTTTAGTAGTTTATCAGAGTTGGCAGCTTTTATTGTTTCTGAGGGATGAACAGAATCAAAGAATTTGGCTTCATCTCCGTGACGTAACAAAGAACATGTTGTCAATTTCTTTGAATTGTTCATCATGTTCATATGCCTTTCCATACTAATGAAAGTGCCAAACTGGTATCTACATAAAGCAAAGCTTTCCATGTGGTTATGTATTTAGTTCAGCTATTGCGCACTTCACCCTGCATGACAAAAGGTCCACTCCTCAGGTACGGCAGTTTGGACCGACGGCGCGCCAACAACGGGCGGCTGGAGTCACGCAGCATGGAACACCTCGATTCTCTGCCCTCCCCCAGTATTCCCCAGCAGTCTGCCCAACATACCTCACACCACAATCACCAACACACACTGTCACCAAATCTCTTACATCCCAGCCATGCAGCGTCCTACCCCCACCACCCACACTACCACAATCACCAATTCCAATTGCCAGAACACCACCAAGAAGCCATGGACACTACAAGCGATTCCCATCCTAACACAGCAAACTGTAGCTTTGACACCATCTCAAGTGAACGATCAGGAGGAGGAGGTGGAGGAGGAGATGATGATGCAGTGGACGGAGCAGCCCTCTATAGAACCCAAGGAGGACTCCAAGGAAGCTCCCAAAATTACCGCCACCGTAGTCAGAGTGGTCCTGGCATGCCTGCACCATCTTCTCAGCTCCATCGTGGGACAGGTCATGGTGCCGTTCAGAGGTCTCAGAGTGGCACAGTTCACAGACTGGTAAGGACTTCTAGTGGAAGAAGTTACATGGAAACTACATTTGTTTCAGAGCCAAATCACAATCAAGAAAATATTCCTCCACTTCGTCCATCCTCAGAGTTGTTGCCTTTGCGACCAACAAGTAGCATGCACCATGATGGTCACCCTCCCCTTCGACCCACCACTACCTCCAACACTGGGGAGATCTTACCTTTGAGACCTACTGTATCAGACCTCCCACCATTAAGAGCCACCAAATCCAGCAGTGAACTACCTCCTCTTAGAGCAACATGCCCAAAGATGGAGCCTCCTTGCAGTCACAACTCTTCCATGAACACATCAATGTCATCAATGGCTGAAGAACCATTAATGTCACTTGCAGAAGCTGCTAGAATGAAAAAAGAAAGAGGGAAAGAGTGGTATGAGACCTCTCTAGACTCACCAGCTTCTAGTAGAAGGGCTAAAAAGAGCATGAGCATGATGGAGATGAATGATTCTTGCCAGAGTAATGGTACTGTCAATGCAAGCCAATCTAATTTAAATGTGAGTGGTAGTAGTGTTGGCAGTACAGGAAGTAGTAATGGAAGCGTATTCCCATCCCGTTCGGATTCTGCAGACACTTCCCAAACATCTGTTCCTTATGATTCACCACGCAATCATATGATAATCTCGGCAGGCTCCTTCCAGCCTTCTCGTGAAGTCACAAAACCATTTGAAATGTCTGATTTTTACAAGTATAGTACAAAGTATAGGCGTCAAAGTTCCAGTAACTTAGTAGGTATGAACAGTAGCAGTACAGGAACAACAAGCGGCTCTGTTAGTTAGCGTGAGAGTGTGAGGGGACACCCCACTCTCTCCAGTCCTGCCTCCAAGAGCACAAGTGCTTGTAAGTAACAGTAAACTGCTTCCTCCATCACCTAATTTAGTTGCTCATCACTCATCTCCAGCACCACAACAAAAGGGTGTATACCAGCCACTTACACCTCTTACTTGCCAGCCTCTTGGAGTAATGAAAGGGTCTCCAGCTCCTGGTGAACCAGAGGATCCTGTTGGTGGTGCATGGGAAGCTACGCCTTTACATCAGGCTGTTCCTGCAACAGTAACAAACAAAAGGTCTGCCACATTGGTCTGATAGTGTGTAATACCTCCAGAATCGTTTTACAGCCTGCAGTAATAACTGAAGGCTTATGGGAAGAGGCTTATCAACTCGTTAATTCCTCAATGGTGCTTCATTCACACATCCTAAAATTGTAAATATATATATGTATAAAAACTGTATACAAAAGGATATATATATACAATACGATCACAAAGACAAACATCTTCACTCATATATTCCAAAGACAAAGGCATGCTTCTCACTTTTTTTTTATTAGTACTTTTTATGTTTTATTTTGATCTCATTATTGTTGTGCAAACATGCTAAATGTTTATAAACCATTTCTTATGTTCAACAAAAGCAATTATATTATGCCTGTTAATGTTTGACAAGGGATAGTGCAGTTCCCTTTTTACAGTTTTAGATCAGCATGAACTTTCATGTGGAACTTTGATTCTGAATAGTTGCATATTAGTTTTCCCGAGACTGGAGATTGTTAATGAAAGGGAACGTGATTTCAAAATCAAGATTTTAGGATATGGAAAAGGTAGAATAGGAAATCTTAACCTTCAACTGTGATAATTTTTTTTTTTTTGTATTATATATGAAAGGAGTTATTTCATATTGTGACTATTACAGATAAAATAATTAAAATAAGCTGGAAGTGTTTATCATTCCAGTTGTGTACATGGAGAGCCACGCTGCATTAACTTTGATAATGTCATCAATTTTTGTACCTGAACTACTGATTGACAAAATACATTTAATATCAATTATGTGAAAAATGCATTTAACACCAATGTATGTCAAAGGTATGTATGTTGATATCTGTGAAAGATTAATCTGCAGCATTTGGCCCTCAGATCTTTTCTTCAGTTCCCAATCAAATAATTATTGATATCAGCACTTCTTGGTGGCTTGTTGAGAGAGGTTACAAGTAGTCCTCATAGGGACGTGGTACATGTACAACTAATGAAAAAAGTAACATCAACATGAAGGGATGTGGGTATGTATCCACTTGAAGTCTTTGCAGAATTGATGTAGGTGGGAAAATTCACACAGTGCTACTTTTTTTTAACTGAAGTTTTATATATTAGCACAATTACTTCTTGTTTTAAGTAAGAGGCTGACAATAAGTCACATATTTTATATTGGGAAATTATTTTCCTGATTCAAGAGTGAATTACATATTTCCCTGGTCGATGAACAACAACCTATTGCCTAACCTTTAATGTTTAATTTTTTTCTCCCTTCCAATAAAACTTTTAATTGGTCATCACTGTGCAGATTGGGATATCATTGAATCTACCAAAGAAAAGTGCCTTTGTTTATACAGACACAATTGTAGATATGTGTACAAAATTTTGTACAGTGTAATAAAGTCAAATATCATAAAACTGCCTTTTCAGTTTCCTAAATACTTTCCAATGTCTAAAAATAATTCAGATTTTCTAATTGAACCTCCCTGACCTAGTGAGCCTCAAACTGCTGGAGTAGCAGGAACAGGCTTTCTGAAGCTTTGGGGTGATACAATATGCATTACTGCAAGTCTACGTGGAACACATCAGTAATCAACAACACTAGCTGTATTAACTTCTGTTCGTGAACTGTAGCAAATGTAAAAAAAAAATATGTCAGTAATGGATCCACAGCTTGAGAAGTGGCAATTATGCAAACTTATGACATGACTAGTGAGACTCAACTTGTGCTATAACAAGAATTAAATTTTAGAAAATAAAAAATAGGTTTAGCCGTGCTATAACAAGAATTAAATTTTAGAAAATAGAAAATAGGTTTAGCCATAAGTTAAAATAGCTGTGGTGAGAATATGACCTTTTATTTTTGCAAAGCAAATTTGATGTTATAGAAATATATTACAATGAATGTTATAATTTAGTAAAAGAATATATAACAGTATACATTTCTATAACATATTTCTTTTTGAAAAATTTCTGTCACATCAACCTCAAAGGTTATTAGCAGGCAATCTAAATATTATGGCTAAGGTGAGCTTGGGGCGAAGTCCCCAGATAAGGACAGGTTGTACAGCACTATGATAAAGTATTGTAGCAAGGTTAGAAATGAGTTAAAGTTTAGAACCTAATATGTTTGATGTCAAAGATTGTAGAGCATTATAGGTTAGTATGGTAGTGAAAAGGGTAAAGAGGGAAGAGCAAGGACACCATTCAGGACTGACACAAAGCCAGCCTTTCATCCTTTCAGCATGGCTCTCACACTTTGGGATGTGGAGAGAAGGGGATGAAGAGAAGGAAAAGGAAAAGGAAAGAGGGAGAAGAAAAGACCATGCAAAATTAGTTGAGGCAAGGGCTGAGGTCTGAGGTAGGAGTGATCCCCTACATTGGGCCTCAGTCCATCTCCTAAGCCCTCCCACGACAACAATGAGCAAGGGATGTAGGGGGGGGGGAGGTGCTGTAACATAATAAGCCAATCAGATCCATTTTTTGTTTCTGAGTCTTTTATTGTTTATCATCGTGATTTGCTAACAATAATGAAATTATCATCATGACATTTTTTAAAGAAGGATTCGATGGGATTCAATGTTTTATTTTTTAGCCACAAGTGTAACAAAAGAGCATGAATGATTTTCAATAATTTGCCTTTATTCATTAACACTCTGCTTCCTTTATCTTTAGAAGATTCATTATTAAGAGATACAGTTACACAGCAGAAGCTTAGAAACAATAAAACTTCAGTCCCATAACCCCATGAGGAGGTGAAGCTGCAAGAGAGCTATGGTTTTTAAATGTATCAAGAGTCAACAAAAGAGGTCTGCCAATTTCTTTACCAGATTATTATTTATTGAAAATTTTTTGCCACATCAAGACTTGAGGTCATTAGCAGCATATTCAAAATATAGTGATAGGGTGAGGTGAAGCCTCAGGCAAGGAAAGTTTTTATAACGCTATGATAAAGTATTTTGGCAAAAAAGGTAAAAATAAGTTAATAAATAGGACAAAATATGTTTGATGCCAAAGGTTGTGGAGCACTGTAGTTTAGTATAGTAGTGAAATGACTAAAGAGGGAAGAGCAAACAGAGTACGAAAGCCGTTCAGGACTGACACAAAGCCAGCCTTTCATCATTTCGTCACAACTCTCACACCTTAGGAAGTGGATAGAAGAAGGGGGTGAAGAAGAGAAAGAAAAAAGAATAGGGGGAGAAAAAAGGTCCATACAAAATTAGTTGAGATGAAGGCCTGGGTCCAAGGGAGGGGTAACCCCATACATGGGCCTCAATCTCGGTTTCCTAAGGCCCTGCGACAACAATGGGCATGGGATTGGGGGGGTTAAAAGAAGAGTAAAATTCTTACTCAGCTCATGATCTCCCTGATAATTTTGAATATTTTTTCTTTTCTTTTCTCACAAGCTTTGTTTTGTGTGTTTTAAAGGCCTATATTCTAAGCAGATGTTATGATATTGTTTAAACCTGAGACCTCTGCAATCAAAAAAATATAGCAGTCCTTATGGTGCTCAGCAAATGCCAATAAAATGGAAGTTCTTGAAAATAATTTTTAATACTATTTAGAACAATATGTGGGCAAATTTTCATATATATGACTCCCTACATCTACAGTAGTATGTCACCCCCAGACCAGGCAAACAGTGTATGTGACTATCATCAGTTTAAATAAGACAACTTTTTCAAACTTTTTCAGTTTCATTTCTTCTATACCACCATCAAGGCTTCTCACACTTTTCCTGAAACCTGAATGGCCAAGGCACTTGAGGCGGCAGAAATCATCAAAACTAGCCATTATATATCAACCCACTGATGCTAGGGATAACATATATGTACATGCCATGTGCATCTAGTTTATTGTACTTACCCAATGATGGCTCTACAAGTACTTAGTTAACCAAGGAATCAATTACATCTTACCGCTCTCACCTGATTACCTTGATTTTTGGAAATAAATAAATAAATATATAAATAGTTATTAGCACTGTTAATGTCCACAATGTAAATAATAGCTTTTATATTAACAACATTAGAAAAAAAAACTAAAAGAAAGTGGTAATCAGACGAGGTCCTATAGTCCTAACAACTGACTATTTGATGGTTAAGCACGTGTGAAGCCATCTACATGTAAATACATTTCACAAAGCAAAAATTACATAGATATTATGCAAAATCTATCATATGATACCAAAGAATAATTGTCAAAAAACAGAATTTTTTCTATTCCCTTTGACTAAAAGGTGCTAATGTGTCTAAAAAGATCTATCATTTGATACGGGAGGAAACTAAAGCTCATCAAAAAAAGTTAACAAATCTTCAGGCCTCCTATCTCTAGCATTTTCATAGTGATTTCCGATTATTTACCCATAATGGACAATGTTGAACTACTTATTAATCCAATCTTCAGTAAGTAAAAAAAAAACAAAGCTGTTTCTACCCACACACACACACACATATCTTCCTATCTCACTCTTACATGCACAAGAGTGAAGGTTATACAAAAATATAAAATCCCGCATTGAGATAAATTGTTCTGAATTCCCTTGTATGACAAATATTATATGAGGAAAGGTTCAAGCAGAGTGAAAAGAAATAACAGTTATGTAATTCACTTTATGCTACATGCTACTGCATATAATTAAAACAATGAAAGGACAAGAACAAGAAAACACATAAATATGTTGTAGGCCTACACTATATTGAATCTTATTTAAACTTCCAATTTTTACAGCATAAATCCTGTATGTGATACATCTGTGAAAAAGGGTATTATAATCTTCCCCCATCTGACTATCGTACAAAGGTGACAAAAACTGAAGTTTATACAGTAATACTAAAATTTAGAAATGTAATCCATAATATCCTTGTGAACACTAAAGCAAAATTTGAGAATAAACTTAAATTTCCAATAATAGTTTAATATAAGGACTTTCTATATAATCTATTATGCTAAATCCACAATAAATCATATAATAGTAATCTGATATACTACTATCCTACAATACTATGCCCTCTATTACTTCAAATTCTTCACAATACTGATAAACACATTTTT